GTGGAATTAGGCTACATGCCGTGAAGCTGAGCTTTCGCGCCCTCTCGCCGGCACTCGCTTTAAGAGAATATTCATAGTCTATCAAAATGAACACAACCAGGACTCCTGACACAATAGAATACCCACAATCTAGCAAAATTAACAGACTGTAGGTATTTACGAATGATACACACCCTATCAGATTACTCTTTTCGTGTGTCATACTGATTTTCAAAATAGCTCAATAAGATTCAGTTGCTCTAACAGATATCGATGAATGTGTACCCGCCGACTTACACAAGAGTCCGCCGCATTCAAACTGTGTGAATGAACCGGGTTCATTTCGTTGTGACTGCGTTCCTGGGTTTATTCCACATATTTTACATGGGTGCCAAGGTTAGTAAATGGCCAAATGAATGTGCTTCATCTCATTTCAATGAACTGCGCATATATCTTATGTTTTTAGTTACGGAAATGGTCAAATAAGAAACAAGCTAGCCCGAAAATCAAACAATCTAGAATAGAGGACCTTCTAGACAAGATCATACTTTCCACGTTCCTTTCTTGCCTGGTACATTTATGTTTAAATCCCAACCTCGTTCCCAGGGTCCTCTCCTACCCGTCCCTGCGGAGAGTGGACCCTGGGAACAAGGTTGGTCTACATCCAATGTCCATTTGCTTTAATTTCTTTCCCATTTTCAGTTTCAAATCACAAGATCTTAGCGCGCAAATATAATTAATTAAACGGTAGATAAACGGAGAGAACAAACTTTTTTAATTAAAGCATATATCTATGTAATGGAGTCGTAAAAAAATATCAGTGCCTTGATGGTTCACACCATTCTTCGGCAATAAACCATCCAGAACGGAGATGATCAAACTAACAAGGATTTTGTACTATTTCTCCAAAGTATAAAGAAAATAACCACGCCTACTAGAGCAGATTATATATTTCGAGTACTATGGATGTAAAAGTAGTTTTTGGGTTTTATCAGTGTGAATCAGTGGCTCGAGACTGATCTGAGCAGTCGGTGGATTTGTGTAAGTGACGTGGTATCTTAATAGGCTCTTTGCATGACTTGATCATGTGATCAAACTTTCGGTAAACACGAAAACAGTTCACTTTTGAAACAATTTGTTAGCACGAGCTGAAAATTAAGCGTATTCTAAATAGATAACCAGAGCATTTTCAGCCGTATATCTCAAAAATAGCGTTGCAACCACCGCCGAAAGTTGGAAGCATTTGTATGAGAAAAACAACTATTGCCATCCAGTCAAGCTTACAAATCCTTGTAATTTCGAGATTTTCAAAACTGTCATGAAATATTTCCTTAAGCATTACAGGGCTCAAATCTCCTTTTAACTCCTATAACAGACAATTTGAGCCCTCTAATGTGTCAGAGAAAGATTAAACATTTTAGAATTTACATGGATTTGTATGGAAAACCATGCAAGCGTGACTGGGTGAGAAAAGTTGTTTTTCTCACACAAATTCTTCTAACTTTTGACGGCCGTTGCAATCGCTACTTTTGAGATATACGGCTGAAAATTCTCAGGTTACCTAATTTTAATATGCTCTTTCAGCTCAAGTGCTAACAAAATTTTTCGAAAGGGAACTGTTTTCGTGTTTGCCGAAAGTTGATCACCTGACCACAATCATGGAAAGAGCGTATTAGGAAGACTGAAATAAGAAAAAAGTATGGGGTATCCCGGGTTTTTCTTGCTTCCTGTGACCGGTTGTGGGGCCACGGAACTCAAAACCCTCCCTCTGTGTAACTACAAAACCGCGCATAACAAGGCAACCAAAATTACACAGGCAGAATGATTTACTCATCATTTCCAACATTTTGGCATAGCTTAATTGACCTAATGACGTAATCTGCCGTCACCGTGTCGTCATTTTGTTGAATTTATTGGCAAAATCCAAATTCCTCCTAAGTGGTTTTGACTCTCATGCAAGATGGCAGCCCGTAACGCAAAGCGCTCGATCTCGATGATCTTACGGAAAAATAGAGGACTGTGAACAGTCCAAAATTTACAGTACGGACCGAAGACTCGGCTAATAAGAAGTATATATTCGCTTCTCTGAACAGCTAAGGGAATAAAAAGCTCCCCCTCGGTCTGAATGGTGTTAAATAAGAAGCAGTTGAAAATATGCCTTTAATGCAGTTAAGAAGATTGAATATAAGTAACTTTTTGTCATTATTTAAATTTATATTTTTTTATGAAAAAGTTAATGTCACGACGTATAAAAAGTATTGGTTATTCATGAATGGTGCTCTTCTCCTTTTGAACATCTAGAATGCCGAAGTTCTCTGGGTATGGAAAATGGCGACATCACTGATAAACAGATCACTGCCTCTTCAGAGTGGCGGGAAACTGATGACTACCTATATGCCTACCAGGGCAGACTACACTTAAAAACAGCAGGAAACATGAAAGGTGCTTGGGCAGCGGGCCAAGAAGATGTGAATCAGTGGCTCCAGGTTGATTTGCGCAGTTATAACGCAAGAGTTACTGGTGTAGCGACACAAGGAAGACAGGATGTGAAGCAGTGGGTTACAAAGTACAAGCTGCAGTTCAGTTTTGTAAACGGAACAGCCAGCTTCCAAACCTACAAGGCAAGTTAAGCAGTTTTTTCCATACCTCTTTTCCTGCCATAAAAGTCTTTAAGCAGGTTTGAAAATCTTACAGAGGGAGAAAAAGGTGGGGGGCGGTGGAGAAAGAGAGAGAGGTCAAGGTAGTATTATCAGCTAAAAGCTAAAGCTGGTTTACATAAATGCCGTCTTAAAAAATGTATATATCTATCTGCGGTTTCAAGTTAATATTAATTAGTTTTGAGAAAAATATACATTCGTAAAACTGGAAATTAACCTTTGATAAATTAATTCTAAGCTAGGATTATAGTAAGGAATCGAAGAGGCTGGGGAGCAATCGGTCCAAATTAGATTGAAAAAAGTTCATTGCTTTGCATCCACGCAAATCCTCTGGTAATTTATTCGAAATATATGCTCCCATATAGCCAGAACGTTTTTTGCCATAATTGGTTTTGGGAAGAGGCAATTGAAATTGAGAAAAGGAACCCCTAGTATCATAATTCGACCTCATTTTCAAAACTTTTGGGCATAGGTATTCAGGCTAGGTGCCATACTGCTGTACACCTTTATTTTTATAGCGAAGAGCTTTATTCTGGGCACAGAAAGGTTGTCCCATCCTAGCTCTTGCGGCAGGGGGCCGGAGCTAGAATAATAACTGGAAAAGATTATGATCCTGGCTAGCTGCGCGGTTTTGTAGTTTTTAAAGCGTCAGAGGTAGTTCAGAACCCAAGCTCTCCCAAACAACGCTGCAATAGTCAAAGTACAGTTTGATAAAAAAAGTTGTGCATTGTTTGGAGGGTCGACGGAAAAACGAATTGTCCTCAGGTCCTCTTTATATGTACTACCCATGTTATGAGCGGAAACAGCGGTCTAAAAAATGCCCGAACTCAGGTATACGGGCCCTAGGTGTTAGTTGTCTAATGTACATGCACTAATTAGTAAACTAACCGTAAGTTTCCCAAATAGACGGAAATGTAAAATAACAATACATTCATACATACTTTATTGAGACTCCCTTCAACAGGGCTTTTCAGTCACAATGTTGATTATTACATAATACTGGTAATTAAGAAAAGAAAAGAAAACTTATTCACAGTAGTTCAATTAAATTCAAAATACATTCAAAATTATTCAAAATGTATTCAAAATTATTTCGTATGAAATATCCTATTAAAAAGTCTCCGCTTAAGACTATCAATATCTTTAGTGTTCCTAATATCGTCAGGTAGTCAGTTACTTTCCTTTGGACCCCGAAAATAAAATGCCCTTTGTCCCATTGATAGTCTTCATCGGGGGACCACAAAATTGTTACTTCCCCTTGTGTTCTTGTTGTGAACTGCTGAACGTTTAATAAAATAGTTACCTAAATAATCTGGAGCTAAGCCATTTACACATTTGAATACTAAAACTAAGTCATTAAATAGAACCTTGTCCGTAACATCTAACCATTTAAGAGATCTCCGTCCCTGGGAGATATGGTCAAACTTCTTTAAACTTAATACAACTCTGGCAGCAAAATTTTGTACCAACTGCAGTTTGTGTAGGTTACGTTTAGATGTGTTCCCCCATACTGAGGAAGAATAGAAAAAAGTTTACTGAAAACAAAGCTACTTATAAGTAATAAAAGGGTTTTCCAATCCAAAAGATGTCTAATTCTAACTATCTGTACCAACTGGTTCATGCAGCTAGAGACTGTTTTAGTAACATGTACATCGTAGGTAAGATATTGATCAATGTATACCCCGAGATCCTTAGCAACTGACACTGGTGGAATAGTTTTGCCCAACAGGGATAAGGAGATATGAGGTAGCCTCTTAATAAGTTGTGCTGAGCCAACAACCACTAAATTTGTCTTCTCTGGGTTTATTAGTAGAGAATTCTTTGCACACCATTTACTGATGCCCCTAAGATCTTAGTTTACGGCTGCCATAGCACTTGATGAGTCTGATACAGAAAATTTAAAGTGCAATTGGCTGTCATCAACATACGCAGCGGGTTGGCTATGCGTAATAACACTGATTAAATCATTAATGTAAATAGTAAAAAGCATAGGACCCTGTTACTATGAAATAGCGATGAAACTCCATTTTAGGGGAGGCTCTGTAAGGGGGGAGGAGTCCCAGACACTGAGGTAGCTTGCATTTTTCTTGGGGAAAGTTTGCCAGTCTATAGACAACCAATGTAGTTGCTTCGGTAAAAATATCAAAAGAACTTGAAAAAAAAAAAAAACCTTCAAATTAATATTTTATGGCCCCTATGGTGTGAGTGTGTAGGTGATCGGTTTTGGGGGACAGTTTGTTTGAAAATTATTCATGCTTGGTTGATAGTAAGTAGCAATGATGTTTCTATTATAATTGTATATAGATTTTTGATGGAAACAATGATCAAAACACCGTTGTTCGTCATAACCTGACAGAAGTTATTATGGCCCGTTATATTCGCTTTCAACCGACGGAATGGCAGGGATACATATCAATGAGAGTTGAGCTCTATGGCTGTTATGCTGGTAATGTATTCTTTCTTTATGCTGTGTCTGCGCTAATCACCCCCAGTCGCAATGTTTTAGGCATGGATGGTGGCAAGATAAAAAAACTGCCATGAACACTGAATATAACCTTTTGTTTAACACGGGAGAGCATTAAGAGAAAATATCATAGCGTTATAAAAGTAGGGAAAAGTTCCATCCACGATCAACCAAGTCACAGATCCTCGTCGTCCTCCTTCCCTATTTTTTCCCTTTCGTCACTTCTTCAGTCCCCTACACTGCACCAACTTGTTTTTAGCAAGAGCAGAATAAAACGTAATAGATTTAACTTATTGAATTCAAATTACGTCGAAATTGATTTCAGAGAACTGGAAGAAGATAAATATTGAGCCAGTCTGCTTTGGAGCAAAGGATGACTCACACGGAACCTTTAACATCACAGAGAGTGGGGTCATTTATACGTTTAAACTGGTTCATCTGAGCGGCTCAGTTAGCTGTGACCCCAATTACCCATCTTCCTACTGGGGATGTGACCGTCCGCTTTATAACAAAGAGAAATTAGTTACTATTATAACGTTTCAGAACAAGTCTGCTCTTTTGCTTGCAAATTACAAGAAAACCCAGGGCAATGGCTGTAGATATTATTCTTACAAGATAGAAGGTGTAGGTGTTAACGAGTCCGAACTTTGGTTTAACACCCTTCCCTCACCAATATCCGTGTCTGTTGGCCAAGAGTTCCAACTTTGGTATGGGCCGGACTTAAAGAACTGTTACGAAGACGATAATAGCGGTCATACATGTGCTGATGTTTATGCGTGGTATGAGTGAATCAAAGCATACTTGAAAACGACGCAGCGAAGTAACATGCATCTAGTGTTAAATTTGTCACAAATATTTCATGGTTTTAGTGACTAGGATGCCTTTCAACACAAAGATTTTGTTTAGTTTAAATTGCTGAATATTACTTTTTCAAAAGTCTTTGCCACAACACAACACAATGGTTTTGTTTTGTTATAGTTTGTTTGTTTGCCGGCTTTTTTTTATCTTTTTGCGCGAAGATTGACCTCTGCATGAGGCAATGAAAGAGGAATATTTAACAATACCTTGTTTTATAAGTTATTAGAATTAGACAATAAGAGTCCTTTTCTAATACATTAACACCGATTTGTTAAATCTACCTTTCCGCGTATAAGATACCATAAACACTATAGTATGGGCAGGCACCGTCACGAAAATCATCCTGTGCTCTGCACACCAGGTTTCATTATACCCGTAAAGTGTACGCGGGAACTGGTCTTTTCAGCCGACTAATTTCTAAATTGAAAATCTCTAAGTGAGGGGAGATTTTTAACTACCGTTATCATAAGAGTAGAAAATTTGGGAAACATATTTAAAAGTCAAGCTTGATTTCCAGCATTTTAAGGTAGTCCAGTATTTATGCTGGTGTTCGTTTCTCAAAAGACCTGTAAATTTCCCGGACTCAACTGAGCATTTTCTGGACCCTTTTCTAGTCCAAAGAGTTTTCGGAACTTTCAATTGTTGGAAACGCAACCCCGGGCTCACAAAACGTCTGATAATTTGGCGTAAAAAATAACATAAGAAAGGGACTTTCTGAGAACCCCTATTGTGAACCAAATTTCTCTTTTTGTGGCCCGAGTTGTTCAAAAGGTGGGTAACGCTATCCACCAGGATAAATCCTGGTCAAAACGTTTGGGACACTTTGTGTTTCAGGTGAGGAAAAGAAAATGTAATTCAAGTTGGACCCCCACTTTTACATATCTTGTACACTTTAAGCTACTTTAAGAACCTCAACTTTGCTTAGGGGCGAGGGGGGGGGGAATCTTGCTAAGGCCGTTAGCTGTAAATTCCATACAAAAACACTTCAAAAAGGGGAGGTGTCCCAAAACCTTTCGGCCAGGATTGTAGTAGATAACGCTATTGGTTAGTCCTAATTCTAATCCACTGAACAGTGGCGCTATCCAACGTTTGAACAACGGGGACCTGAGATATAAAATTAACAGTTTTATTAGTTAGGCTTCACGGTGTATATAGATGTAGAAGGACTTTTAAATGGGATGGGTATATTTAACTTAGCTTAGTCTTACAAAATGTCACATACCTATTACCTATATTTTGCACTACTGTAGTTAAATCACTGCTTGCTAGGGATTCCACATGATTGTGGCTCCAGAGATGGGGACCATTTAACTACATTCCATCCTGTTTTTGAAAGGGACGTCTTAGCATACAGCTGAAAAGTTATTTGGTTTTCACATGACGTCACTAAAATTATAACTAAAAAGCTACAGATCCTGCTGAGATTTTACTTTTGTCACGTATTAGAGCAGCCGGAAACTAATTTTCATACAAATGTTCGCTTCGGAAGGGTTCTTGGTTTTGTGATAGAGTACGCTTGAATTTCTAAGCTTTTACGTGACGCAGCATTTACATGACAGCCGAGAGAGCTGTCCTGTAGGTAAGAAAGTGACTTATTTCAGGGAATTTTCCTATCTAAACAGTTCATGTATTAGAAGAAGTATTACTTCAATGTTTATGAGTTCCTCGAGGAATAAATTCGCACTTTGTAGCAAAACTCGGTAACAGATGTTTCTGTTAGTTTTCGTACGCCATGTTGGTGCCCATCCGGATGGGGTCCAGCATGGCGTCTTCATACAAATCTTCAACTTTGATGCTTGCAAGATTTCCTAACTAATTTCCTCTACTAACTATGGTTAGGTACAACACGTTCAATTTTAAGTTCTATTTAGCTATGGTTAATGGTGTAACGTCATAAGAAAGGATCTTACGGTTGCCCTTTTGTTGGTACATTTGTTTGTACCATAAATGCAGTTGTTTAGGCTGAATTTTTGCTTTCAGCTTATCAACTTACCAGATAAATATAGTCGTAAGGATTACTTCATAACATTAATTAAGGTTGCTTTTTAATTAGCATTAGCACGGAGATGTCAGAACTTCTTCCTTAGTGTTAGCCTACGTAGCTGGCGGTGGGTGCGAGATTAAAGTTTTGGCGGCGGAGCCGTGTTCCAAAAAAAGAGAGTAGGGACGAGGCGGTTGAAAGGTATTTCTCGCGGCTTCGCCGCTCGTGATGGCTCCGCCGTCAAATCTCACTCGACTATATTACAACGGCTCCGCCGCCAAATGTCACTCCACTACTACGCAATACCGCTAGCTACGCAGGCTACCTTAGTGTAGTCACCTGATCGATCTAAAGTGTGTGTCTCTATGAACTGAGGTCAGACAGTAATTTTCTCTTTTGTAACATATCGCCTCATGTAAAGGGATCCAAGACAATCTTGGAATCTGGATTCCAAGCCATGTACTCTGATTCTGTGTCAGTGGAACTTGGATTCCGGGTTCCAGTCGCATTTGGAATTCCGGATTCCAAAACCCGGGATTACGGATTCCATTAGCAAAAATTTCCCGAATTCTGGAAACCGGATTACTTTACATGAGCAAAACATAGTTTCAGCTGTCTTTATCTGGTTTCTTAATTAGTTTTGCTTCTTATAGATGCTGATTGATTCGTTGGTTATGTTATATTACAATAATCATATGACATATTTCACAGCTGGTCAGAAGACGTTTTCTTCCAGAGCAGCAAGTCGATTAGTTTCTACTATGTTACAACGCTCAGCGCGTAAAGGCTTCATTGAACATGAACCGGTACTCGCTCTCTCACTAATGGTTAAGGACAACTTGTTATGCTTTTGTTATAATGATCAGTTTCAGAATGTGCAATAAATCGTGATTGTTTACTTGTTATACTCTTCAGTACTGTATATATTTCTCCTTTTTTATATCGATCATTTGCTTTGTTGAAGTCACCTTTATTTCCTCACAGCAAACATTAAGGGGGGGATTCTTGTTAAAAGCTCTGTTTTAAATTTTCGCTTACTTGCGACCTTTTTCTTAAATATCCAACCAAGATTTCATTCAATCAACAAGCTCGACATTTTTTTCACAACGTTTTTTTTTGTATGGTTTTTCAAATGTTTTTAAGTGCGTACTTAAGTGTCGCGAAGACAATCGAAGACAAAGTTTTAACTTGGTTATCTCTCTTCTGACGTGCGAGTTTAACAACAGGACAAAGGAAGCCAGGCCTGAGGACTTCATCCCAAACTCAGACGGACCAGTGAAGGGTACGCTGTCAGCAAAAAAGTAGTTTTCCAAAGTAAACTCTGGTTCATTCGTTCTGGCTTATTGCAATATGGAGACCGGCTGGTGGGTTGAGCCTTCGACTAACGAAAAGGTATCCTGGACCACGCTCGGGTCGCCTCGCACCCCGATATTTTTTCGCCTTTTCCCCCACTGCGGAGACTCTCAGGCTAACGAAAAGTCAGTATCATAACTTAATAATTCAAGGCAACTTTTCCGATTTCCGACGTGCACAACTGCTTCCTTTCTAAGGTAATACCACAAATCATATTACTGACTCATAGCTGGAACATGATAAAGCCTCATAAAATTTTGCTAAAGCATGGATTTAATTAAGTTACACGCGTGGATAAAAGTCTGAAATTTTTCTTCAAACCGACCTTATAAAAACCTCATTAATGGTCCTTTAAAAAACACCGTTTGTTCTTCCTATATTGCTATTTACATTACGTGATTTGTACTTTTATACATTTCACTTTTTCGTGAGTGGTTCAGCCGCTTTGCAAACCCATAAAGAACTTACCTCAGGAACTATAATGGGAAACCATAAGTCTTCAATTCTGCAGGTACCGTCATCACAAAAGAAACACGGAACCAAACAATAGAGCTTTATAGTTTGGTTGTATCGTTTCTTTTATTTTACGTAATCTGTTTCTGTATCTACAGAAGGAACCGAAACTATTTTGTTATTTTTCTACCCTTCAATGGAAATTTCCCAAACCGACTGTGTAGCGCACTCGGTTTGCCTACTTTTTTGTACAGTCAAACCTTCAGTACTCTTCTGTCCCAAAGATGGCCCTTTAGGAAAGGTTAGACTGTATATGGTTTTAGAACGGAACGTTATATTTCCTCTGATAAGCATTTCAAATTACAGAAAATTTGTTGTTTTATCTGGTAGCAAAAACGCCTCTTGGAAAGGTGCTAGAATTGTAAGGAAGTTAAATTTCCGGATTTTGAGCCTCTCGCAGATTAATTGACAGAAGTCTGATCTTATTGGGCTCAAATACCTTGTAAACACGTAAGTAGCCCATTTCTAAGCATTAAGGAGGCTTTAATTGACTGACGCGAAGTTTACCTGAAAGTGTTCTTCATATATATATTTTTTTGAACTTGGTGTTTTTCACGGCACATGGAGCCCTAACCTTTTTATTACCATTTTTCTCTGGCGTTTAAAAGATGTCAAGAGATATCAATCCCTCAACAACAAATTGTACCCAAAGCAGAATATTATAGTTACTTACAAGCTGTCAAACTAATCAATTAACTAAAAGGGGTACTGATATTCGCCTCGCTTCGCTTGTTTACTTGCCTTGTTGGCGTTAGCACGTATTGCGTGCCTTTTACACTTTTGCGTCAAAACAAGCCGTTTCGATTACTCTAGTTGGGCCACGCCCCAATAGTAACGGCTTTTTTTATCTTGGCAAGTGTTGGGTTATGCATGTTAACTTATTGCAATTATTATAGGAAGAATTTTCGTATTCAAAACATGTTTAACCTCTAGCGCAAAAGTTTAAAGAAACGTCACTTGTTGGGCGACTGTTAAGTAGCGTAATTGATCGCTTCCCTTTTTTTAATAACATGTAACGAAAACTTCGCACCGCTGATATCAGATCATCCGGCTGGATTTGGGAAACAATTTTGGGTAAGTTCTG